TGTTATTTTGATTTGCATCTCTCGGATGATTAGTGACTTTGAGCATATTTTCATATGTCTCTTGGCCTTCTGTATGTCCTCTTTAGAAAAGTGTTTATTTAGGTCCATTGCCCATTTTTTGATTGGTTGTTTATCTTCTTTTTGTTAAATTGTATGAGTTCCCTGTAAATGTTGAGATTAAACTTTTATTGGAGATAACATTGGCAAATGTGTTCTCCCATGCAGTGGGCTTTCTTGTTGTTGTGTTGATGGTTTCTTTTGCTGTGCAGCAGCTTTTTATTTTGATGTAGTCCCATTTGTTTATTTTCTCCTTAGTTTCCATTGCCCTAGAGCTGTATAGGTGAAGATAATGCTACGACATATGTCTGATATTTTGCTGCCTATGGATTCTTCTAAGATTTTTATGGTTTCCCATTTTACATTTAAGTCCTTTAGCCATTTTGAGTTTGTTTTTGTGTATGGTGTGAGTTGGTGATCTAGTTTCATTTTTGTGTGTGTATCTGTCCAATTTTCCCAACACTGTTTATTGAAAACTATCTTGACTCCATTGTATGCGCTTGTCTTCTTTGTCAAATATTAATTGACCATAATGGCTTGGGTCAACTTCTGGGTTCTCTGTTCTGTTCCATTGGTCTATATGTCTGTTCCTGTGCCAGTACCAGGCAGTTTTGAGAACCGTGGCTTGGTAATATAGCTTGATAACTGGTATTATGATCCCTCCAACTTTGTTCTTTCTCAGGATTTCTGCGGCTATTCAGGGTCTTTTTTTATTTCATTTGAATTTTTAGAGAGTTCGTTCTAGGCCTGTGAAATATGTTATTGGTATTTTAATGGGGAGTGCATTGAATCTATAAATTGCTTTGGGTAGTATGGACATTTTAATGATGTTGATTCTTCCAATCCATGAACACGGTATATTCTCCTATTTGTTTATGTCTTCCTCTATCTCTTTTTTCAACGTCCTGTAGTTTTCCGAGTACAGGTCTTTCACCTCCTTAGTTAAGTTTATTTCTAGGTGTCTTACTTTTTTTGATGCAATAGTAAATGGGATTGTTAGTTTCTCTTTCTGTGAGTTCATTATCTATATATATAAAAGCCAAGCCACTGGAATGCCAGAACAACCAGTTGTTATGACATGCACTGCGGCCGGCCAACCGGCCTGATGGGGAGGAAGGGGGGCGGCCCCACTCCTCGGCTGGACATGCCCCCAGTCACCCCCCCTCCCTGATCAGGGGTGGGCCCAACCTCCTGCATCCCATCCCCCGTGCCAACCTGGCTCGATCAGCCCCCATGGGTGCATGCGGCCAGACCTCACCCATGCACCAATTCATGCATCAGGCCTCTAGTTGATGTATTAAAAAAGCTATAGATTTCTGGGTGTTAATTTTGTATCCTGCTACATTGCCAAATTCATTTATCAAGTCTAGTATTTTTTTGAGGGAGTCTTTGGGATTTTCTATGTACAATATCATGTCATCTGAGAATAATGACAATTCTTCTTTTCCAATTTGGATGCCGTTTATTTATTTTTTATTTTTTTAAATATGTTTTTATTGGTTTCAGAGAGGAAGGGAGAAAGAGAGAGAGAGAGAAACATCAATGATAAGAGAGAATCATTGATCGCTGCCTCCTTCACACCCCCTACTGGGGATCGAGCCCACAACCTGAGCACGTGCCCTTGACTGGAATTGAACCTGGGACCCTCCAGTGTGCAGGCTGACGTTCTAGCCATTGAGCCAAACCAACTAGGGCTTGGATGCCTTTTATTTCTTCTTATCTGATTGCTATGGCTAGCACTTTCAGTACTATGTCGAACAGGAGTGGTGGTGACTGTGGGCATCCTTATCTTGTTCCTGTTCTTAGAGGAAATGGTTTTAGTTTTTGCCCATTGACTATGATGTTGTTGGCTGTAGGTTTGTCATATATGGCCTTTATCATGTTGAGATGTGCTCCCTCTATTCCCAATTTGCTAAGAGTTTTTATCAAAAATGGGTGTTGGATTTTGTCAAATGTTTTTTCTGCTTCTATCAATATGATCATGTGATTTTTGTCTTTCATTTTGTTTATGTGATCACGTTTATTGATTTGTGAATATTGTACCAGCCTTGCATCCCTGGAATAAATCCCACTTGCTTATGGTATATGATCTTTTTAATATATTGCTGGATGCAGTTTGCTAACACTTTGTTGAGGATTTTAGCATCTATGTTCATCAGACATATTGGCCTGTAATTCTCTTTATTTGTAGTGTCTTTATCTGGTTTTGGAATTAGGATAATGCTGGCCTCTGGAAGTGTTCCTTCCTCTTGGATTTTCTGAAACAGTTTGAGGAGTATAGGTTTTATTTCTTCTTTGAATGTTTGGTAAAACTCACCTGTGAAGCTGTCCAGACCTGGGGTTGTGTTTGGTGGGAGTTTTTTTTATTACTTCTTCTATTTCATCAGTTGTTATTGGCCTATTCAGGTTTTTTGATTCTTCCTTATTCAGTTTTGGGAGTTTGTATTTTTTTAGGAATTTGTCTGTTTCATCCATATTGTCCAGCTTGTTGGCATATAGTTGTTCATAGTATTTTCTTACCATCTTTATTTCTGTGGTGTCCATGGTTACTCCTCCACTTTTGTTTCTGATCTTATTTATTTGGGTCCTCCTTCCTTGTTTCTTGATGAGTCTGGCTAACGGTTCATCAGTCTTGTTTAT